GAAGCTTTAGCGTTTTAAAGAAACTTAGGTCAGTGGAAAGCTTTTATGCTTAGCATTTTGGTAGGACATGTATGCGGTAGGAGCCGATGAGAAAGCTCGTGGATGAGTAGCATCAGTTTACTGTTATCCTTGCAGTAGAACGTGGTTTATAGATGCTTGTTACTATAGTTTTGAAAGGTTTGGGAGCAGCTATTGGTTATGAAATCATCTAGAGCATAAGAAAAATCCTGCTGGATCAGACCAAAAATCCATCTAGTTTAGCATCTTCGTTATCCCATATTGTTCAGACAATATGTTTCCTTGAAGCCCGTAAGGAGGTCATGAAGTCAAGGACCTTTTCTTGTTGGTTTTTCCAGTAACAGATACTCCAAATGCATTGTGTTCTGGTTCCCTTTAGTCTCCAAAGCTTTTGATAGTCTTCTCTGTGACTTATAATTCATTGTTTTTAATAAAGCCTCCTAAACACAGTGGCTATCACCATATTTTGTGGCAATGAATTCTGGGTAATTATGCACTATATGGAGTGTGTTCTTTTTTGTCCTGAATCTATTGCCAGTTGACCTCATTGTGTGATCTTGAGGTTAGCATTATATGAGATGGAAAAATGTTCTCCTTGCCAGTATGCATAATTGTATACATTTTAGCATGTCCACTCCCTTCATCCTTTCTAAGCAAAAACCAAAATAAAGAAAAATGTGAAATGGTGTAACCAGAGTTATGTACAATATTCCAAATGTGGTTGCACTGTCAATTTATATAAAAGTAGTGGGACAGTAGCAGCTTTATTTTCAAGCATTTTCTTAATGACATGTAGCATGGAACTTGCTTTTGTCAGCTCACAACTGATAGGTCAGTATTTCCACAGACATATCTGCCTTAACTTTCCAAAATAGTCACTGTCAATTCTGACCCCTACAGAGTTCATATTTTTATATCTTAAATAATGTCTTTCTCTGAAGACTGCAAAGCTCTTAATAGCAAAATAAGATTTTATAGTTTGCCAGCTTTTTATAGTGGGTATCTCGCACATAGGTTCAGCATAGAAGGAAAAGATGATTGGGCTGCAAAATTAACATTGTTTGACTAACATAAGACATTCAGAGCCCTGACTCTTTACTTATTACAGCCTCGCAAAATTGAAGAGATCAAAGACTTCCTATTGACAGCCAGGAGAAAAGATGCAAAATGTGAGTAGCAACTGTTGATTTCATAAAAATCAGTGACTTATTTTCTCACAAAGGAGTTTCATTCTTAGGTGGCTTTGTATTCTTTCAATAGTGTAGATGCTGCAAGTGTAATACTGTTTTTGTGTTATTGCATAAAAGTAAATTTAGTACTACATGGAGAATTGAGAAAGGCACCTCTGTGCCTGAAGTCCTGTGATTCAGGTACCAACACTGCCCAACAGGGAAACATAGATCAAAAAGAATATTAAAATGTGCCAAGATGATATATTTTCCCCCCACAAATTTACTCTGCCGTGAAGATTGCTAGGTGACCTTGGACCAGACCTCTCTCTGCCTAACCTACCACACAGAGTGGCTGTGACAGTAATATGGAGGTGCACAGAACAATGCATGCTACCCTGAATTTTTTGGAGGAAGAACAGAGAAAAATGTAGTAAATAAATAATAAATCGGAGCATCGTTTCAGTCTCTGTTCAAGATGAAACTTTATTTGTGACCTTCTTCATAGTTGCCATGCACAAGTTAACATCCAAACTGGCAGCATTTAATAAGTCCAAGATTTTCCATTTTGGAATGTTTAACATGAACGCATGGGAAGAAAATGAGGAAAAAGCACACAACCATGAGACCCACTCCTGAGCTCATCCTGTATAGAAGTGATGTGCCTAAGTAGAGTGACTCTCAAGATCACATCAGAAATGCTAACTAGAGAGGAAAATGTTTTATAAAAATGTAACGATGTTTTGTATACTATAGGTGCAAGCTGACGTAATGGCTTTCCCTTAAGAAATGGGTACATTTTGCTTTGGGGAGAGCCCTCATAACAGTCCTGAGATGCGGGATGACCTTGGACCAGTCAGTTTATTAAATCTGTTAAGAATGTCTTTTCTTGTCTTTTCTTGTGGTTCAAGGTAGCTTACAAGTCACAGTTACCTGAAGAAGTGTGCGTTCACACGAAGGTTCATAGCCAGAATTAAACTTTGTTGGTCTTAAAGGTGCCACTGGACTCATACGTTGTTCTAAGTTACAGTTAAGACAGTGTAATTTAGAGCCAATAGAATAAAACCCTAGATCTCCCCTGCCCCCAAGTTTGCTACAGTTTATACCTGTACAAAGGACTGGCTAATAAAATGGTCTTGCAGTGCCTCTTGAAGATTTCAAACAGCAGAGTGCTCCACTCGCCTTTTCAAGTGGGAGGTGTAACAGAAGAGGCACAGGCCCAAGTTTGTGTGAGGTGGGCCACCTAAAGCAGAGGTCCCTAACCTTTTTGAGCCTGCGGGCCCATTTGGAATTCTGACATGACGTGGTGGGTGCAGCAACAAAGTATCTGCTGCAGGAGGGCAGAGCCAGCCACAAAATGATTGCCACAGCTTAACTTCAGTAACAGTATAGATCCTTGTGCTGCAGTGGCAGCTGCTTCCAAAGCACCATTTTTAGAAAAATCTGCACAGCCAGGTTGGCTGAATCTTAACAAAGGACAGGGTTAGCAAACTAAATGCAGATGGTAGAAGGCACTCTTGACCACAATGCCAGACTGCTTTTCAAACAGCAAGGCTGGGTATATGAGCACCCCCCAGGCTCTAAACTTGCTCTGCAAATGCCAGTTCCATTCCATCTAAGGCAAGTCTATCCAGTCCTTCTAAAATAGCATAGCCTTCCCAGCCAGTATCACCTCTGTCTTTTCTGGATTCAGCTTTAGCTTGTTCTGTCTGACTGCCAGAATGACTGGTCCAAGGTTATCCCACAAGCTTTGTGGCACTGTAGGGGTCTGAGTTTGGATCTCTCTTGTCTTATTTTGAAATGCTAACTGCATCACTGCACTGGTTCTCAGTAGAAAGTAGGCTAGTGTGCGTACAATAGTGCATACTCAGTAGAAAGTAGGATAGTATACAATAATCCGCTAGCTTTAACATTTATATCATTTATGGATGTCTTTACAAAAGGGCCATGCCATGGGGTGGAATGAAATTCAGTCCCATTTCTTGTATTCAAGAGACTATCCCACTGGCCTAGGAATAGGCAGCCTTTTTGTCCTTTGTGCTGAAGAAGCACAAGTGAGAGCCAATGTGATATAGTGGTTAAGAGTGGCAGACTCTAATCTGGAGAACCGGGTTTGATTCCCCACTCTTCCACATGAAGCCTACTAGGTGACCTTGGGTCAATCACAGTTCTCGCAGCTCTCTCTCAGCCCCACCTACCTTACAAGGTGCCTGTTGTGGGGAAAGGAAAGGAAGGCGATTGTGTGCCGCTTTGAGACTCTTTAGGGGTAGAGAAAAGTGGGGTACAAAAACCTACTCTTTTTGTGAAGATACTAGTAGGCTGACAAACAAATGGGGGGGGTGATCAGGGTTGTATTTGCTCAGCCACAATGGGACAAACCAGTCCCTATTAGTGCAGCTAGGCCCTTTTAGTGGCTCGTCCCAGTCCCTCTGGTGGCTGTGTGGTCTAGGAAGGCACTGATAAGACATACTATTGCCTTCTCTCCCGTGGAGCTGGTCCCAGTGGCTTGTTTGGTGACCTAGCCCAAGTGCTGAGAAAAATGTTTGGCAAACATGCCAGAGATTACCTATCCTACCCCTGTACTAGCCTCTTCGTGAGCCAGTTTGGTGTAGTGGTTAAGTGCGCGGACTCTAATCTGGGAGAACCAGGTTTGATTCCCCACTCCTCCACTTGCACCTGGGCGGGCCGTAGCTCTGATAAGAGCTGTTCTTGAAAAAGAGCAGTTTCTGTCAAGAGCTCTCTCGGCCCCACCTGCCTCACAGGGTGTCTGTGTGGGGAGGGGAAGGGAAAGGCGTTTGTAAGCCGCTCTGAGACACCTTTGGGTAGTGAAGGGCGGGATATAAATCCAATCTCTTCTTTTTCTTCTTCTCTTGTCCTGGTGTATCAGTCAGCCTGTTACTTGAGCATTGTGGATGCAGCACTGACATTAGTGTTCTTACCCTGCAGCTGTCAAGATTAAAAAAAACAAGGATAATGTGAAATTCAAGGTGCGATGCAGCCGGTATCTGTATACACTCGTCATCACAGACAAGGAAAAGGCTGAAAAGTTGAAGCAGTCTCTGCCACCAGGTAGCTGAATGTGATGGTTGCCATGGTCATGGGAAAAGGCTATAGTAATATGAGGAGAACTATGTTAAATTTGTGGTCTTGCCAACAGATCATCTACAAATGGTCCTTTTTTATTGTCTTCTGTACTGAGAGTGGCAGAAAGTAGTGGACATTTTGGTATGTTGTATATGGTGAGAATCCATGTGAAAGAGGCCACATAAATATGTACTAGTTAGCTTGCTGGTTAGCCCTAGAAAACTATACATTATTACTGCTGTTGCTTGTAAGTCAGCATATATTATAGTTGTAAATCAACCCAAGCTCTGTGGCATACAGATTTATAATTCAGCAGCTGGAAATACAGTACGCATCTTAGAACTTTTATGCTTGATAAAGGATTAGGGATCTCTTCAGTAGTATTTGGCCCATCCTGTTTATAATACAGGGAGTATTCTGAAATGATGCAGCAGTGGAGGAGCTGCTTGAGGGAAATTGACAAGTCAAGGTGCAACTAAAGATTCTTGATCCTACCTTGGAACAATCTTAGATCTTTGAACATATATAGGTCATGAGCCTCTCGCATTACAAAATTATCTGCTTAGAAGCAAAATAGCCAATTATGAAATTAGTGGTTTTCTGTTTCTGTGTACACACACAAGGACATAAAGCAAGGTCACTGAAAGATGGAATGTATGGAATTTATCAGAAGCGGGGGCTGATATTTACTGGCATGGTGGAGATTTAATGACAAACCATTTATAAACCACTCTTTGGCCAAACCATGGGTGGATGCTGCATTGGAGCCATCAAATCATAGTTTAAAGCTAATGCAAATCCAGAATCGTAAATGATTATTTGAAGCTGGCATGGCTTTAGATCTGCATTATGGGACCATGACTTGAGATGTTGCTGTAAGCTTGATGCTGACCAACTATTAGAAAGGGGTATACGATGAGCAGAAAATGAACCACTCTGAGAAAAATTTGGTGGAAGTTTTTCAACCACACCCATCGTCAGCCTGGCAATAAACTCTGTTGGTCTCTATCTAAAGCAGCAACCAAAATGGGAATCACGGTGGAAAAGGTACAAAGGCAATAAAGCACCATGTGCACAATGAAAATGTGAAAAATAATATAATTTAATATACTATAAATGCAAAATCAAAATGGTAACAAAATAATATAATTATAAATGTACTACAATATCAGCCATTTCAAAAATCATGTAGAATACATACAGATCTGATGCACTAGGCACAATTATTCTAAGGCATCCATTTTCCAGTGGCATCTGCCTCCCTTTCTCAGAATTCTCAAACGACTGGGGAGCCCTGTATTAAGAGGCAATTGTCTAGGAGGACACAATGAGTGAGAGTTTAAGAGGCAAACAAATGGTACTAGGGACACACACAGCCAGTGGCTTAGAACCAAAACTATAGTTAGCCCAAACTAGTTTTGTTGTTGCATCAGACTCATGCCATTGTGTTTCTACACAAGATAAACAGTAAAAATAAGTCCTATGCGAAGTTGGGCATGGACCTAACTCACTGATGTCAGACTTGTAAAATTTCTATTTAGTTGTTGCCAAAATGTCTGTGTTCTTTTGAGAAGTAACAAATGTTGTTCCCCATAATTTGTTCTTTTACATAGGAAAAAAGTTACAAATTTAGTTTTAAAAGGTTTTATACATGTGAAGTATAAATATCAGAACTTTATAATATGACTCACCTTTAAAAATAGGCATTCTTAGTATGACATATTTTTTTAAAAGGAGAGAAAAATCTTATTTTAAGCTGTCCATTTATTCACCTTGTTGCAACTTAAATGAGTCCTGGAAATTAATACATTAATTGCTGTCCTGGAAAGCAATAATATGGATGAAAACATTTACACTATTAACTGAGCAGAATGAACACCAGTCTTTTCGTGCTTGCTTTAGAAGTTGTAACAGGAATTAAAAAGACCTGGAAACATAATTCATTGAGAAGTGAGTGAAAATGCTATTCTTTTCAGCATAACCAAAGAGGTAGCAGGAGGGTAACTTCTCTTGCAGATGGAAGTTGTACCAGTGTCAGCTTAATAAAATTGGCTGTTAAAGCCTTGTATCTAAATGTCACTTCCCTAGGAGGGAAACCACTGGACAGTGTGAAGATGCGACAGCTCGAGCAATGATATGGGCACTTTCAGTGTAAAATGTCATTGAACATCCAGCCATAGTAGCAGTATGTATATGAAAAGCCCTGTGAGTGTTCAGGCCACCTGGTTCACAAGCTAGCAAGTCATGCTTCTGTGCACACTCACTGAGTTCTGCTAACAAGTCTCGTCATCTTGAGCCTTGGCTGTAGTGAACAACCATTGAGAGGCTGCCAGCCTGACAAAACAGAAATAATGAGGGCAGAATCTGTCTCTTTATGACTCAGTATCTTTATTTCTTCCTCCTTTTCAGGTTTGGCTGTGAAGGAGCTGAAGTGAATCTTGGTCATGCCTGCAGTTTAGCCCATGGATTATAATAAAGGAATTAATTGTTCTTTCTACTCAGCGTTATCTTTCTCAGGGGTACCTTAGAGAACAGCAGCTATGCATAGGTTCGGATCCACAGTTCCAAAGAGTTATACTGTGCATCCTCTGGAATGTGGTGAATGTGGGTCTTCCTTTTGAACCTCTGTCAGCTTTGTTTTCCTCAGCCTCCTTGGACTTTGAATCCAAGTAATAGTACAGTAACTGGGATGCTTTCAGTCTGGAGTAGAGACCTTCTAATCATTCTTCTAATATTTGGGCACCATATTGGAACACTTAATGGAGTCAGATGCCCTTGAGGCACTTTAAAAGCCTGGAGTTCACATGTCAGTAGAAAAACCATCACCCAAACTAGCACTTACACTGAACAGATGGCTGCCTTAAAAGATTCCTAATGTAGAATCCATGAACATAACAGCCATGATCACATGAACTAAGAATGTCTGATCTCTATTTTGAAGCATGGTTAATTATTTTCCTACTGCAGCCATAAATTTGAAGAAGCCCCCGTTCAAATGAATTTGGTTTTTGTAGAGCAAATTTAACAATATGGGTTGAATCCTACTGTGTGCGCCTCCCCATGTATATCAAAACCTCTGTACAATGGGGCTATGTGAGGCTAGAGGTTTCTGCAAATTAGGGTGGTAGTGGTGGTAGCATGGTTTGCAGAAGAATCCCAGTTAAAAAGGTGATTCCCCCCCCCCAACTGAGCAAGGGAGGGTTAAAGGCAGGTGGAAGTAGGATAAATGGAAGGGAAAGACACTGGGGGATAAAAGAGTGTGGCCTGAAACAACTAAACAAGAAGAACACAAAAGACTTAAACAATTAACTTGCTCCCAATCGGCTGCATAGCATGCCCACACTGCAGCTTATGTATAGGACTGAATTTAAGGGTATACAAGGAACAAACTAAATATTTCATGGTGGGTTCCCACTTGTATTACTTGGAAATCAAGTGGTGTGTAGTGGCTAAGAGGATCTGGAAGACCCAGGTTCAGATGCACATTCAGATTTCTGTATATCCTGTAATGGTCAAATTCCTTTACAATCTTATCACATTCATTTTCACTGCACAGTGTCAAGTAGGTCATTGTTCCAGTGTGTTTCTCCGGAGTAATGGAATCCTGCCTTTGAAGCTTCACTGGCTGTGATGAGTTCTGCATCTATAAAATGTAGTCACTGAATAACAAATCTGCAGATAGGGGGCACACTCCCAACAGGGTTTTCTGCAAATTTGGATGACCCCCTAGGTTTGCAGAAAGATCTGGAAAGTTAAAAATAACATGAGGTTTAACACACACACACACACCCCACACACAAACAAAAGTAAAAGTGTTGTCTGCAGAGGCAGAGACAACAACCCTTTGAAAGTTCGGTGGCAGGGGCTGCTGCACCAGAAGCCTGGGAGCTGCCACTGGGTCTGGCCCACTTGGAGCCACACCAGATGAGCTGCTAAAAGCTGGGGTGAGTTGCCAGAGCCAGGGGAAAACTTGGTGGGCCTGCCTAGAGCTGCTGCAGGCAAGGGAGGTGCGGGAAACTTGGTTGGAAAGTAGGGTTACTAACTTCCAGGTGGAGTGTGGAGATCTCTTGAAATTACAACTCATCTCCAGACTACAGTGTTCAGTTACCCTGGAGAAAATTGTTGCTTTGGAGTCTATGGCATTGTACCCCACTGAGGTCCCCTTCCTTCCCTAGGCTCTACCCCCAAATCTCCAGGCATTTCCAACTCAAGAGTTGTCAATGCTAATTAAAAACTGCTGGGGGGGGGGAGAATAGGGGGCTGGGGGAATCTGCATTGGAACGGGGAAACTGGTGGCAATTGCTATTTAGTCTGGATTTAACCCAATATGTTTATTTCAGTTGATCTGTTGGTAATGTGTTGTATCAAATTAGAAAATATTGAGGAAATTATTTTCAGTAAATTGGCAGCTGTAAAACAAATACTGTAGGCAAACTCCTCCGGCAAGTCTTTGGTTTGTGAAGATACGACTAACAAGAGTCAGCTTCTGAAACCAGATTACAGGATGGTGTAACAACAGTTGAAGACTCAGAATTTCTGTCTTCCTATGATTATTTCTACCATTTTATATAATGCAATATATAAAGACAAAAATGCACACTTGTTAGCTATTTAGCTACTTCCTTTTATATCTTATGCAGAAAGAGTTCATTCAATTTCTCCTTTTAAACATTGTGCATGTACACCCTCAGGTGTCAGCATGACAAATGAAAGCTCAGGAACTTTTAACTTAAACTGATCACATTGATAACAAGTCACTTGTGTGATTAAATATTGTGCAGGTACACTATACTGTTCAGAATCCTGCCTCTAGGTGTTGCTGTATGTGTAGAAATATCAATTCTATGTTAGCAGTAGGAAAACAGAAGAGCTTAGTTACATGGAATCACAGAATGTGAGCTTGGGGGTGCATCCAAAGATCCTCCAGCCTCCCCTGTTGCCCTATGGCAGAGTTCTCTGCACATCAAACCCTCAGTGATAGAAAGTACTGTCAAGTCACAGGTCTTTATGGCAAGAGGCATTCAGAGATGGTTTGCCATTGCCTGCTTCTGCATAGTGACCCTGGACCCTGACCCATCCAAATACTAATCAAAGCCAACCCTGCTTAGTTTCTAAGAGCTGACAAGATAGGGCTAGTCTGGACATCCAGGTGAGGTTGGAGGAGGGATGGGACCTCAGAGAGGTACAATGCCATAGACTCCACCCTCCAAACCAGCCATTTTCTCCTGGGAAACATTGTTGCCAATCTCCAGGTGTGGGCTGGAGATCACTCAGAATTACAACTCAGATGGCAGAGATTAGTTCCCCTGGAGAAAACGGTGGACTCTTGTGTCATTATACCCTGCTGAGGTTGCCACAGTGAATTGACGCTGAGTGCCCAAGGTTGAGACACCCGCCCAGAGCCTCTTTCTAGAGCTCGTTGTATTTATTTCCACAATGGGCCTTATTCCTAGTAATATATGAAATCTTGAGTATTTTTTGGGGGAGGGAGAGAGATTTGATTCCCAGGGTTGCAGGACCTGTGGACTAATAGCCATGCAAGCTGAGGGGCTGCACTGAGAAGGAATGAAATGTACTGGCTTCCAGTGGAGCACCGAGTCAAGTTCAAGATTTTGGTTTTGACCTTTAAGGCCTTGAGCGGTCTGAGAGTGACATATCTGCGGAACCGCCTCCTCCGTTACACCCCCAGGAGAGCAGTACGCTCTTCACAGAACAACTTGCTGGTGATTCCTGGCCCTAGAGAGATCCTGCTGTCCTTGGCCAGGGCTTTTTCAGCCCTGGCCCCAGCCTGGTGAAACTGTCTGCCAAATAACATCAGGGCCCTGCATGATCTTATGCAATTCCACAGGGCCTGTAAGGCAGCGATGTTCCGCCAGACATTCGGTTGAGAACAGCAACGGTTAACATCATGGCTGGCACCCTACCTGGACCCTTATTCCTTATAGAACGTACCCCTGAACATGTGAAGCATTCACATACCAGATATAGTAACAAACTACAACATTTTGCCACTTGTTATTTATTACTGTATGTTGCTGGACACGGTTTTTATGACTTTTATGTTTTTAGAATTCTGTACATCACTTAGCGCTCCACAATTGTGGGGATAGGCAATTAATAAATGGAATTAAATAAATAAATAAATTGCCGTCTCCTCACACTTCTGCTACTTGGCCCATTACCCATAGCGGCTATTCATTCACATACATCCCATGACCTTAAGAATCAACCCAGAAAGTGGTTTATCAAGGCTCTTGCTTCCCTATTGCTTAACAAGAGCATGGGTAGCTCAACAGAACTGCGATGGGGGAGAAAGCTTTGGTTCAAACTGCATGTCCTACAACAGTACATAGTATCTAATAACAGGCACCAAGCTGTTCTGAAACTGCTGTAGCTTTTCTCACTGCATAATAAAGAAATGTTTGTCAGATAAGACTTTTTAATATGTCTGCAAGAAACCATGCTGTTTGGCCTCTGTTCGCTATTTTAGTTGCACTGAAGATTGGCAAAGTACTTTTCAAAGGGCATCAGCAAATGCTGCTTGGAAAGAAAGAAAGGGAAGGGAGCAAGCAAGCCTGGGTTTTATCAAAATTGTACTGCAGTGTTTTTGGCTTAAAGTGAACTTTGATCACTGTTTCCTCTTTCAATAGAGTTTGATTCACAGCCTTATCTCCCAGATGTGTTTTGTGTTCTGGAATGGATTGTGTTACACACTCATTCCTTGCTTTCCTTATTGCAAAATGAAGCTGAAAGAACCTTAAACTCACTTCCTTACTCTCTGCTGACTGGAGGAAGAACTTCTGGAGAAATTATTTGCTTTGCATTGGGAAATGGATGGGGTTATAATTATACTTGAAAGCAGGTTATATCTGCACCCAAAAATAACTAATTCCCAATAATGGTAGACCTTGAGTATTGATGCCAGGGGCCATTTCGTAGAAAAAGACGTGCAGGAGCTCATTAGCATAATGCATTAGCATAACTTATTTGCATATGCCACGCCCCCTGACACCACCGGAAGTGTGTCAGAAGGCAACACCCACCGCTCAGGCTCCACTGGACTGTTTTGGATTGCTAGCTAGGGGGGGGGGACGTGCAGATCTGTCCTAGCAGAGGAGGGAGAGCTTGTACCTGAATAAAACTTGGTCTTAAAGGTGCCAGTGGACTGTTTTGGGCGGGGGGGGGGGATCTGCAACTTACCTGGCTGCTTCTTGCTCTGACTGAGGGCTTCTGGGAGCAGGGGGTGGGGCATGTTGCATGTGCCTGCCCCCTGGCCTCTTTACTGCCGGAGCTCCGCTCCTGTGCGCTCCTGCGGGAAATGACCGGATAGATGCTCTCCTTTTTTTTCTTGCACCTCCCCATGACTGAAATTTTGGTTTATTGGTTTCCTCCTCCCTTCAGAAGTTAGCACTATGCTTGTTAACAAGCACACATGGTGAATGGATTTTAACACACTGTAGCTGCTTTTTCAGATTTTTAAATAAATGAACTAATT